GCTGCCACGGTAAACGATTCATTGTGTTAGAATATTATAATTACTAATTTGGTACCTCTACAACTTATCTCATCATCTGCTCATACAACTTGTCGAAAGCGCATTATTTGCTTGGGAACTGGTCATGGGTAAGGGCGCAGGTACGAGTCATGAAATATGTCACATGCAGTTAAATTAATACATGTTTTTCATATGAAAGTAGAATTCTAAAATAAGGTTATATAACTTAAATACTTAATTTAAAAAACTCCCATAAAGCAATGCTCCAAAGAAAGTTGCTAAGTCAGAAGACAACAAAATCGTTATCAATGGTGGAATCTTCTTCGTAAAGCATGAAAAAAGTATTAAAGGATTCGTGTAAAGCTTTCAGCAGCGTCATGAAGTTCTGCTTGACTCGGCTCTACTCTTTCATTCAAACTAGTACATTCCGCTAACCCAAGAAACTTGAATCTTTGAATACCGACAGCAAGTCGCTCGAGTTCCATCAGTTATTCAAACTTTCGCGTCAGTGAGATCAGTGGGACGAAGTTTTTTCAACGGAGGTGGTATATCCGCAGTGTGGCACAACCAGACCGCTTAAACTCTTATGCGATTTGCGTGGCCCATCGCTGAAAAATGTCGTTATACCAGTTCCGATTTGAACTCAATAACATCTCGCGACTGCGTACAATCAATCATTTATTTCGACCTGTATGTACAAAAATACAAGGAAAATACAATAAAAATAGTAACGGTAAAGCTGTCAGTGAATCAGGGAATTTCTCCAAAAAAAATTTTTTTGAAGATTAAACAATTTGATCACAGGGTTAAATCGACGGCACTCATTATGAGTTGCAGTAATACCAGAATAAGAAGTAAAATTCAATTTTGTGTTTGCAGTTACTCTAAGCATATCGATAGAGAAGGAACAAGAAGGCGACTAACAAAGGTGTGAAATACGATGTTAGCGTTGACGAGTTACAAAGATTTCCCGAACAGCAACAAATAAATCCAAGGTTCGGTATGGACTCGCAGGCTTCGAATACACGGTATGTCTGACAAATGGATGAAACTCCGGTGCCATCGCAGTACCTCACCTGAAATAAATGAAATATTATACAGTAATAAGTAAAAAATAAATGAAAACTAAATAAGCAGGACGATCACTTTCACTGCTTCCTTTCATATTTTCCAAATTTCCTTTTAATCCCGCAAAAACAAAAAAGAAAGTTTATTCAACGCAGATTTCCAGAAAGGAATTTATATACAAGCAATTTCACAATTAGAGTGTAAAGAGAATATGGCAGTGCAAAATTTTTCTGTTGTAGATTTGTTAAGTATCGCAATTATTCCACATATAGAAGTACAGTATGATAGGCGAAAGCTAATGCCCGCCAACACTATCCTCGCCTTGCCGATGACGCGCCTATATTCTCGTAACAGCCAAATTTGGGGAATATGTGTAAAGATTGGTTTATACTAGATCAGAAGGACGATGTTGCAAGACGATGGGTGTTGACATCTCCTTAACGCTCAAAATGAGTCACTAAATTAGAACTATTTGTATCTGCAATCATCATGATGAGCCACCAAGCTTCAGAGCTAAGCAAAAGAATCGAGCAGCTGGGGAGCATAAAAATTATAAAGACGTACTGAGAAAACGAAGAGCATACGGCTTTGCGATTCTTATAATTCAGCTATTTCTTGCTCCTTTACGCGCTTGTTGGGACAAGAACTATGCGTCTCGATATAAACGCATTACCTTATCTAAGTGAGCAGAAGTATTTTAGAGCTGAGAAAGTTTTCACCGTATACCAGCGATCGAGCGCTACCGCTTTCGCCAAGCTTTTAAAAATAAGGGGAACGGTGCGTGACCGAGTCACCAGTGATTAGATTCTGCTCACCGCTAAGTAAAAAAGAAGAATATTGCAGACTATAAAATCATATTTATTGAGGAGGTCCGCCACTGATAAAACATTCTTCCTGTTTTAGTTTGAATGATCATCTACGACACTCGACAACTAGGTGTTACTAGCGTCTCTCGAATCCTAGACAGTGAATGGGCAACAAGTGATAAATTCAAGGATGAAGAAATGATATAAGGATAAAACCTGAAAATTTGCCTTTTTTAAAAGCAAAACTTGAAAA